ATGATTATATATGTGTGTGTGTGTAAAATATGCAATGTGCTCACATTTCTTAATTAAGCAAGTACCTTGAAATAGGTGTCTTAGTGGTAAGGAGTTACTCTGCCAACCAAAAGAGATGTTCAAATCCACTCACTGCTTTCCAGGAGAAAGAGGAGCATTCTCCTCCCATGAGATTTATAGCCTCTGAAATCCTGCTGGAGAGTTAGCTGTGAGTCAGTTCTGACTCAGTGGTACATAGCAACATCATGTTGTTGCTATTGCTAGGTATCTTTGAGTTGACTGCAACTCATAGCAACCCTAGTAACAACAAACCTGAACTTTGGCCTTTCTGCATCATCCTTTTGATCTCTGATATGCCCATGCCTATTATTACAGTCATGGTGTTAATCTGTCTTTTTGAGAGTCTTCCCCTTTTTCTCTGATCTCCACTATAGACTTTAATGATAGAGAGAAATTTTAAAACTTTAGGTTTAGTAAAAAGAAAAAGTACTTTTTGTGTGTGTGTGTGCGTTCCACACTCTACTTCTGTTTAACTAATTTAACTTTGTTTTCCCCAACACTGTTTCATAGCAACAAATTCTCTTGTCACTTTAGTAACTAATATGGAATCTTCTAGGAAGGGAGAGTTATAAACAAGAAATGCATCTGGAATTACTTATAATATTCAAAAGAGGTATGCTTTAAAATTAGGAAATTCTTTGAAGGATCAAATAATTAATATAATAAGCTTTCAAAATAATGCATATGAGTTCTAGCATGTAAAAGACATGAAAGGTAAGACTGAGTTTGTGAAAAATATGTCTATAACACATAGGAATCATTCAATATTTTCAGGAAGTTATAAAAGTATAAAATAATGCCATTCTTTTTATTTATTTAAAATATTACATTACAACCAAATGGTTGTTTATTATACTACCCTCCTATCTCTGTGCTATACAACTATTTTTTCCAGAGTAGTTTTGCATAGTATATCATATTATCTACATTTTATTGATGAGATAGTAATATAATTGGTATTAGTATTACTATCATCATTATATTTATAAAACATATTCAAGTACTATACTAGTACATACCTTATTTCATATTACATGCCATCTACCTGGAAATGACCTCGTTGTTTTGAGTTGTTTCATTTACATTGTTGTTGCTGTTGTTATGTGCTGGCAAGTTGTTTGCGACTCCTAGTGACCCTATGTACAACAGCTCTGAACCCTGCTCTATCTTGACCCAGTTTCATTGTCTCTGGCATACCTTATTACCCCAGTCACTAAGTCAGTCTATCTCTTCCGGGGTCTTCTTCTCTTGCACTGTCCCTCCACCCTTACAACATGATATCTTTCTCTGAGGACTGGACCCTCCTGGAAGCAGGTCCAAAGTATGTCAGATTGAGCTTCAAAATCCTTGAGCATTGTGCTGTGTGAACGAACTCAGTCCCACAGGAAATCACTGTATAAAACCATTGTTGTAGAATGAGTATGAGGATGTAAGGGGAGAAAGGGTGGAAGCAGAGGGGTGAGGATGGGCGGTGGAGGGAGGGGTTGTTAATCATAGGGTTGCAGATTTTGATAGGGGGATGAAGGAAATGGTAAGGATCTTCTGTGAAAAAACAATATTCAAACTTTGTAAATAAATCAGTATAAAATTTAAAAAAAATTCTGCCTCCAAGGAGCAAGGAGCAGCCTGTTTTCACTCTCTCTAGGACAGACCGGTTTGTTCTTTTGGCAGTCAGTGGTATATTCGTAATCTTCTCCAGCACCACAACTCAAAGGCATGGATTCTTCTTCTGTCATCCTTAGTGATTTTCTAGCTCTCTGATACATAGCAAATAACTGCAGTAACCTTTATATTTCACATGAGGAAATGAAACTCAAAGTTTTCACACATTCTATTAATTTCAGACAGCAAAAGTTGGTAGAAATCCTATTTCCTTATCTTTGACCTTAGTTCTTGGTTCATATATTTGCATAATAGTTATATTAGCCGGTGTTCCTTGTATGCATATGGATAGTATCCTATTGCTCAAAGAACTTAAGATTCAAACCAGTCATGAAGTATTACATGCCTCTGAAAGATGTAGAATAAGTCAGACGTCATTTGTTTGAAGAAACGGAATCAAACAGCTCACGTCCATAGTCTTGTGGCACAACTCAGTAAACCGTATAACTTAGCTTATAAAGATAATGTATATCCTATGGTGGTGAACGGTGTCCCACATCTTAAATCCTTAAGAGAAACTATCTAGAATGTTGTTCCGTTCTCACATGGAATGAAGACAACTAAAGATTCAAGGATAACATTTGTCCAATGGGTTCAAGGTCCTCATAAACCACAGCTTCTTCTAACCTGACATCAATGGAGCGAGATGGTGCCTGACAACCACTGCTACCAGCCCGTTCTGAGAAAGGATATGATAGAAGATCCCACTTAGAATGGGGAAAATGTGGAAAAGAAAATTTAAAAAAGGACTTAACTGGTCTAATACAAACTAGAGGAACCCCTAATACGATGCCTCTGTAACTTGAAATTGGAATCATTCCTATAGATGATGTTTAATGCACTTTAAATAGTCAACTACATCAGACAACAATCAGCAGTTACCAAAAACAAAGATGAGAAGATAGGGAAGCAAGAAAACAGGATGGATGGAAATGGGAAGGTGTTGTGGGGATAGGAGGATACAGATTATGAGAATGCTGACACAGTGCAGGGACAGTAAGTAGTACCCCTGAACAATTTGTATTTGAATTATTGAATGATAATCTAATTTTCATGGTGAACTTCCCCTGTGATACACCTATGTCAGTCCATCTGGTCAAGGGTCTTCCTCTCTTTCACCAACCCTCCACCCTTCCAATTATTATGTCCCTCTCCGAGGACTAGCCCCTCCTAGCAACATGTCCAAAGTATATGAGGCGACGCCCCATCATCCTTACCTCCAAAGAGCACTCTGGCTGCACCCTCTCAAAGACATATTTATTTGTTATTTATAATTACCCATCATGAACAGTGTTTGAAGGAGCTTCCAGATTGATTCAGATACACTTCCTAAACCAGATGCCTCTGTAAACTCTATAAAACTCCATAAACTCTATCAACACAAAGAAATTATGTTAATTCTAGAATAGAGTTCAGGTGTTTTGTTCATATGGTTGCTATGAGTCATATTTGACCTGACAACACTTAACCACTGCTAAGTGAGACAGGTGTTATATTTTGGAGGAACATTCTTCAACTTTGTACATAACTCTTTGTCAACTTGCTGTACTGAGATAATCTGGGTTTGCTGTATGCTGAACCTTGTGCCATTGGGGGTGTCAAATGCCATAATGGTTTCCCAGTAGGGACAGTGTTTGGTTGAGCTCCCAGTTGTAAAGCAGGTTTGGAAGCAGGAATGTCATCCACATCCTAAACTACATGCCTATGGAAACTCTATAAACTTGGAGAAACAACAGTAGTTATAGGAAGACATTAGGTCTTTTGTTCATGGAGTCTCTATGAGTTGTGTTCAACTCGATGGCAATCAATAACACATAGAATGTTCAGGGCTCTTCTCCAACACCACAACTCAAACACATCAATTCTTCTTCTGTCATCCCTTATTCAATGTCCAGCTCTCAGATGCATCACAAGTGATAGCAAAAACTGTGGCCTTAATCAAATGTATCTTAGTCATCAAACTGACATCATTACTCCTCAGTTATGTGGAGAGGTCCCTAACTGCAGACTTTCCCAGTGCAATATGTCTCCTGATTTCTTGACTGCTGGTATCAACTCTATTAACTGTGGATCCAAGTAAGATGAACTTGACTGTTTCAATATATTAACGCCATGACTGCAATGATGGGCTTAAACATAGTTATGACTGTGAGAATAGTGCAGTACAGTGTAAGCAGGGTGTTGTTCAGTTGCGCAAAGGCTGCAGTGAATGAGGACTGCGTTGACAGCTCCTAACAATGGTAGATGGCATAGTGGTAAGAAATTATGCTGTTTGAATGTGACAGCTGCTCTACAGGAGAAAGATGGACGGTTAACTCCGTGTGATTTACTGCCTCTCAAAACTTATTGGCGAATCAGCTGTGGGTCAGTTCCAACTTGATGGTACACAACAACAACAAGCACAAAACATATTGCGAGCTATGGTGCCTTAGTGGTAAGGAATTTACTGCCAGCACAAAGGTACATGGTTCGAATCCATCAGCTGCTCCACAGGAGACATATGGGTATCTTCTCCCATGTGATTTACTGCCTCTGAAAAGTAGCTGGAGAGTCAGCTATGCATCAGTTCCAACTCAGGAATAGACAGCCACAACAACATAATAATACTTTCAATTATGCCTTTAAAACTTTCCTCTGAAAGCAAATACAGTAAAATCTGCAAAAACCAGAACATATAAGACAGAAGCCTGTAAGAGAGAAAAAAAAATAAACAAGTATTTTCCATTCAGTAATTGATAGAAATATGGTAATCTTCCAACAAGTTGCCACCACAAAATTTTCAAGACACAGAAAATCAAAGCAGATCTGTCAATCCTGGCTCTCACAGATTTCATTGTATCCATTTTAAAATATACTACTAATTCTTACTGGTATAATTTTTTTTTTCTTTCTCTTTTTTTGCACCCTTCTCCCCACACAAACCCCTCCCCCCTCCCCCCCATTTGCTCCTCTCCTTGAAAAGCAAAAGAAAAACTCCCTCATTGGTACACAATCCCCCCCCCTATATAATTTTTTCAAGAACATTTTGAGTATTCATTCAGGTGCACTCAATGTGAATACAATGTTACTATAAAAATTTGAATCCTCAAGGAGTACATAATAATAGAGATTATGTAAAATAATCTATATAAACTTTGTAAGTAAACCAATATAAGATTTTTTAAAAAATTAATAAAAGAAGAAAAAGAAAACTATTAGTAAACTTAAACACTGTTAGTACATGTTTAGCCAGACATTTTAATTCAACAAGGACCTGACCTTTTGTGTTTTGTCAATAGGCTTATGCAGGCAAGGACCTGGAGGAGCAGTTGCGGTCTGTGTCCAGTGTGGATGAACTCATGACAGTGCTCTACCCAGAATATTGGAAAATGTACAAGTGCCAGTTAAGGACAGGAGGCTGGCAGCACAGTAACGAGCAGCCCAGCATCAACCAAAGGGCAGAAGAGAATATAAAATTTGCTGCAGCACATTATAATGCAGAGATCTTGAAAAGTAAGTTCAGGAAGGAATATATGTGATGATCTTTGTATATTAAAGCAGTGCAATTTGCCAATCCAGTTGTTCAATGTCAGTATTTTTGTCACAGACTTTGAGTCTGTATAAACAGAACATAAAGAAGTGATTTAAAGTAGAATTTTATGATTTCACTTTCATGTTAAGATGAATTCCTGAAATAGAAAGATGCAAAAATATAGGCATATAAACCCATGTTAAATATGTGTCTATTGAAGTAATATCAGACTTAAAATTGAAAAGGCATGCTGGTATGTTTTGCATGCTGTTTCAGTTTATCATATGAACGTTCCATATCTTCTAAACTGTATACTTTCTTTTTTATTTAGATTTATAAATGTTTCTTTTATCCCAAAATATTGCTGATTCATAGATAACAGCATTCAGAGCTAGGTTTTTTTAAAACTGCTAGGAAACCTTACACAAAAATTGTCACATAAAATGGCAGACTGTAAATTGGTGGACTAATTTGTAAAACTTCCCTTAGTTGGTCGTGATTAGTGGTTAATTGGTAGTGATAGCCAGTCACTATCTCTGTAGTGAACTTGAGAATCAAGGTGTTTGAAGACAAAAAAAACCCAACTGGCTTCATTGTTACATAAGTAATATTTTATATCCTTTTTGAAAACAATCTGGGAAAATATATGGAAGAAGTAAACCAATACATATAAGAAGTACTTCATGTGTAGTTCAGTATTTTTGTGGTCAACAGAGCTAGAAGTAAACCAGTAATTCACTGAAAAGAGAATTCAGAGAGAGAATATAAAACAAAATTCAGAATATACGTCCTCATTGATAGAAAATGCCATTGTATTTGAAATGATATTTTAATTGAGTCCAAAATCATTTCCATCTTATAATCTATATTTCTGTTTAAAAATAAACCAGTTTGTTTCTTTTAGCTCTAAGATCACAAAAATAGTACATACTACAGAAAATGAACTTAGTCTCTGCAGATCTTATAAGCAAGCATCTACATGTTTTCTTTATCTTAAGTAAGTAAATGCAAGTGTAACTACTGTGGGATATTGGTTTAATTTTACAGTCTTAAATGGAAGTCCAAAATCTCTGTAAATGTTCATTGAAATTAAAAAAAGAGTAGAGTCTTAGTACAGTCTTAGTTTAGCTTGTTGTAAGAAATGAATTTTGGTTAGCAAAGGCCGTTCTTTGCTAAATGTTATGTCATATTATTCACATTATAGTATTGTCACATTATTTACATTGTTATTATTCAGCCACAAAAGTTTAGATTTCTGCAAGTTATTTATTTAAATATACAAACTGTACTTGCATCTTGATGTCTGAAATAAACTGTGAATGACTTCCCACTGCTTTGGACTTTTTACCCTTTCGTGGCATCTGTATAACTTACAGCCTTCCCTATGACTCGACAGGTATTGATAATGAGTGGAGAAAGACTCAATGCATGCCACGTGAGGTGTGTATAGATGTGGGGAAGGAGTTTGGAGCAGCAACAAACACCTTCTTTAAACCTCCATGTGTGTCCGTCTACAGATGTGGGGGCTGCTGTAACAGTGAGGGGCTACAGTGCATGAACACCAGCACAAGTTACCTCAGCAAGACGGTAGGTTTCAGCCAAGGTCTGATTGCCTTCTCAATCAGAATGTTTAATCTGGAGAATATTTTGCTTAATATCTTTAAGAAAATTAGTTCAATTAAGAGTTTCATATATTTTCTTTGAGTAATGAAGGAACCTTTTCCAGATTTTGTGTTTTCAATGATAATATTATAAAAGAAGTTACTGATGATTATTTTTCTTGAGAGAGTTGTATGTTTATTTGTTTTCTTTGTAAAACTTTTATTTTATACTGGTTTACATACAAAGTTCATCAAGTTCATATACATTGTTTTTCACACAAGATGTTTCACCTTTCCTTTTTTCCCATCCCTCCCTCCCCACCCATCAAATTGTGTTAACCTATAATTAAGGCCCCTATTCCCTCCTTGAATCCTTGTACTCATTCTACAATAATGATCTTATACAACTGATGATTTTTGAACTTCACTCATTTAGAGTAACAAAGCTAAGTGAATAAATTCTACCTGTTGTCATGTTATTGTAAATACTGTCAAGGTGGAGTCAACTTACAGCTGACCTTCCAGTAGGTTTCAGAGGCAGTAAAATCACACTGAGGAAATAATTTTGTGTTTAAGGAAAAATGTATTTTTAAATAAACAACTTTATCAGTGGGTAAATTTTCATTTTCAAGATTCACAATAAATTTCAGAAACCATCCATTTCAGTGGAGTTGATTCTGACTCATGGTGACACTCTAAAACAGTAGAAAATAAATGTATGTATGTATGTATGTATGTATGTATGTATGTATGTATGTGTGTGTGTATTCTGTGAAATAATGACATAAGCCTTTACACTGATAAAGTTCATTATGCTCTTTTAGAGAATAAAGGAAATAATTTCAGTACTACATCTCATGTATTTTGAATTGCATGTAAATTCCATCACATAGCTGTTAAACTTTTACTATGAAACCTCTTAAAGTTATGATTAGATGAGGGACTTTCAGAGCAGATGCACAGACCTGTATTGTGGATACTACATGGAAGGGGAAGGCTAGCTATAGCTGACATGTTTACATGTAGGTGGTGATCGTGAGGGTGTTGTTTGATGTGGCATGTGCCACTGCCCTTTGCACAATGAGAAATCCAGTGCTGTGTCAGAGCTGATGCTGACTCTCCCTGGAAAAAAAATGTGACTGATCTTAAGAGTGTTCTAAGCTTTGTTGAGAATTGAATCAGTGTGGTTAATGTGAGTCTTCTGGAACATGTGTTTTAACCTTTAATATGAAAAGCAAACTATTTGAAAATATAAGCTTAGATTTGATTTATACAGTATAGTCATTACATCATATTAACTATTTAGTTACATAATCCTCATACTATCTGCTAAAAGTTTTATTTCATATCAATTTTAGCCAATATATGTAGTTCTCAGTTATAAAAAGGACTTAATATCAGATATCTGAACTGAAAGATAGAAATACCTTTATTCTGCCTAGTTGAAAATTCCTAACATTTTTACTTTTGTCGATCATTTAATCTCTGAGTTATACTTTTTATTATCATATACACATTGCCTTTTTTATTTTACTTTTTAAAAAATTACTTCCACACTTGACATTTATCTAACAATTAAAAGTAGTATAAATGCCATGAAAGGGAAGCACAGAGATTTATGGAAATGCTTATCAAGGAAGTTAGCAAAATAAGGGAGGGCAAGCCATGAGACTCCTGAAGGCAGTGTTTTCTCATTTATGTTAAATATTTTTACTCATATTATAGTTTTTAAAACTTGGACTGAGGAAACATCTCCTGTTTTTACTCAGTGTAAGAATATACTTAATGTAGTGGGTAAATGAGAGTGTATGGTGTTTTCTTTCAACCGTAAAAGAAAGTTTCTTAATGCTGTTTTTGTGTTCTTTCTTTTGTTAGAAGGAGTTCTAGACAGTTTTGTTATCAACCACCACTCACCAATTTCAATTTTATAAAATGTGCGGACAGTGTACCCTTAGTAATGTTAGAACCAAGTTTGTTTTAGGTATTTTATGGAATTGTTTTTATGAAGTCCAGGTTATAAGAATGTGTGAGGAAGCTAGCTGTTAGTAAGTAAAACCACATGCACTAAGCATTCCAAAGTCAAGTAATCGATAACAACTGCTTCAAAGTTCTCCACAACTAATATGTGAGTGGCTTTGAAAAGTTGAGCAGATTGAATATCTTTTTACCTCTTTTATAAACATATGCTTTAAGTGTGTTTGCTTATGAAAAGTTAGGACTGTATTTAAGAGATAAAATAAAAAGTATAAAGTGAATTTTGTAACAAGTAAATTATTTTGTGATTCAAAATATCTGGTTTGGGGACTGATTAATACTAGCATTAAAATGTTATTTAGTGTTAATATTTGCCTCCTTCAGAGTCAGAAGGTTAGAGCTCAAAAGGCTTAGAAATTCTTTGTTGTGTTCATTAGCACAGAACTGAAAAATTTACCTGAGAGGTGGATGTCTGTTTAGCTAATTCTGATACATAAAAATTGTATTATTTAAAATTTTATGTTACCACTAAAATATTTAATTATTATAAAAATAGTACAAACATGTGTATATTTCCCAAATCATCCCCTATTATACATAGTGAAACATAAGTGTTTCATGAAACTTTCTTTACCACAATGTGTAAAGTCTAGTAAAATGTTCAGTGATATAAAGGAACCTATTAGCATCACTTTGCATGATAAACAGATATTTCTTCAATACAAAACTGTGACAATGAACACTGTAAATACTAACATTAATTTATTAGATTCATGTGCAGTCAGCACATGGGATGTAATTTGTGTGCATATTTAACTCATGAATTTTTGGTTAGTAAAGTTGTTGGAAGCGATAATTTATCCTGATAGAGAACAATAATTCTATACTAGCATCAGTTGTCAGAAGTAACTTAAATAATATTTGCATAAAGGGAAAATGATTGCTTCTGGGAAGAGTATCACTAATGGGTGTGTACAGATTTTATGCACTATTTCCAAAACTTCTGAATTGTGTTTAAAAAAATAGACATATATATATGAATATCTAGATGTGTATGTATAACATTGTATATATATTTTATGAATAGCAATCAAGTAAAATTAATGCAGCATCAGATGTATATTTGTTAACATTGTCTCTCTCTGCTGTTCTTCATGGCTCCAATTTAAATTCCATAGATCCTCTAGGTAGGTGGCCATGTGGTTGAAATATTTGGGTGAAATGTGAACAGTAAAATTGACATTTTTATCGTTCCTCCTTTTATGGATTATTTCTTTAAATATGCAGGTTTTTGTCTGATTTTTCAATTATTAATCATACTCTACAGAGTCTATATATTGCTTTTATAAGTAGACAATATGTGCAATGCTGAAATACTGAAATTAAATATAGTTGCGTGATCTCAAAAGAATCGCATGCACTTTGCATGCAAGTATATTTTCAAAAGAGGCACTTGCATATATCGTGTCTAGTTTCACATACCCAGTCCTTTGGAATTTAATAATAAATTATAATTTAAAATTTAATTAGTGAGGAAGTTCTACACCTTTTTTTCTTGCATAGCCTGCAAAATAAATGGAAAAGGCAACTGTTGCTTCACAACGGTTGCTATGTGGGTATAAACAATCTATTGTTTAAAAATGTGGCTTTATTTTAAATCTATTCTTCTTGGTAAGAATTGACTATTAAATATTCTTATTAAAGAATGCTAGTAGATAATAGCTGGGAACCTCTCAGCTGGAAATCCTTGCCATTTCCTCTTATTTATTATAGTTTTCCAGAATGGACAGTCTCGTTTTTCTTTTCAAATTCCAAACTTTTTAAAATAGACTTTTAAATAAATCCTTTTGATTTATTCACTACTAATAAGTCTCATAAGAGGCATATATTATATTGTAGCATCCGTCCTCATAATGAACTTTATTATCATCATTATTTCTCAGATCTTAAATTGAAATCAATACAACCTATTGTCAGACACTACTCAGTTTTTAGTCATAAGAAGTTATTTCAGAAAGATTCATGCTCAAAATATCAAATTATAATTGATATCAATTAATATTTACTCTTTAATCATATAGAAGACTCTGGTGGCATCATTCATTGAGGTCTATGCCACAAGCCAAAATGATATGCATCTTTGGTGCTTTGAATCCACCAAGTGCCGCACAGTAGAAAGGCGGGCTGTCTCCTCCCTTGTGATTTACAGCCTCCAACAGTTTGCTGGAGGGATTTCTTGTGACCTATTGGCAAGAAGCTTCACTGCAATCCTGAAGGCACACAGTTCGAATCCACCAACTGCTCAGCAGGAGAAGGATGAGCAGTCTCCTCCCATGCAATAACTGCTTCTGAAAACCCTCCACAGGGTCAGCTAAAAGTTGATTCCAACTTGACAGTACACAACAACAACAACCTGCTGGAGCATCAGCTATGTATCACTTCTAATTTGTCAGTCATAACTGATTGATTTAATATTGATTAAATATATAGGCATGGGATTATTAACTATTGCTAAGCATAATAATATTCTCTTTGTAGGTGCTCAAATCTAAGCTAGTAAACAGTCAAAACAAAATATTTCTGCACTAATTAGTATAAGGATTTCTATATGTTAATACATATAAAATAATTTACTTCAAACATTGCCGTGTTGAGATAAATGTTAACTCTTTTGAGAGAAATTTGCAGGAACAGTGATGATTTCTATCATTATAAAATGGCAAACACAGATCCCAAGAGAGTTTAACTGGAGATTCTTGTTCATGGCTGACAAATATAGTAAGTTGTTAGGTTTTGTTTTATTTTTTGTGTTTTTTTTTATTCTTTAACATACTATAATTATACACTATAGATGTGTGTAATTATACATTTTTAACTTTCCATTCAATCTCATTTTTAGTTTTAATTACGTGTGCCACATAAGGATAAGAATCACTCTTAATGGACAATTACTTTGGACTTCTAGCATAGTGCTTGGCATCTTACACATATGCAATAGATATTTATGAATAA